CTATTTTAAAATCAAAGCGGACATATCTTCAGCTGTTTGAAAGAAATAATTTGTTGTTCTTATGAATATTTTGGTGTGCATGAAACTGATAATTATGAAATTTAACAGTTGTCCTATATACACTATGAATTAAAAAGGTCCATGTACCTGAAATTTATAGAATTTTCTCTAACGTTCTGGAACTGTCTTACCAATTTAGTAGTTTATCACATTTTGTAGTCATACTGCTAAAACTGGTTACTCTCTTTATAAATAAAAAAGAAAAATAGAAAAAAAAACACTAATTCATTGTAAAAGAATGTATGAGAAATATTTTGAAACTTTGTTTCACTAAATTTTTTGCAAAATGTCCATCAGAAAATAAACATTATTGATGCTTGTACTATATGTATATTCATTGATCCAGTTCTTATATTTTTTAATATTCAACAACCACCCATTTATGTAGGTACCTCCACGAGATCGCTAAAAAAAGAGCATAGCATGATGAAAAAGACGCCAAACTTGACAAAAACAAAATGTTATCGTCTAAATGTTTGTTATTCATTAAGAGGAAAGGTCAAAGTATTTTTGGGTTATTTTTTTCCATTTTTTAATCGTTCCTAGCACGTCCGAAATTTTCGTTAAAAATCTAGTTTTTTTGAGTCAGCAAAATTGACCATTTTTTCCATTTTAATTTTAAAAAAACTGGAAATCTGACTTTGAAATTTTTTTAAATATCAATTATCATTTTTTCAAAACTTATTTTAAGAAAATCAGAAATTATAATGTTTATTTAAAATATTTTGAACTTAACTTAGCTTTTGTGCCAAAAAGATGTAATTTGAAAATAAAACAAAGCAGGTCATAAAATTTCGCGTCTCTTGACATGTGATGAATGATATATTTACGAATTCCATGAGGCTAATTTGTTCTACGGAAGGAGAAAAGTGAAATAATTTACATTTACGTGAACAAATTATTTACCCCGTTATTTTTAACGTAAACTTTCAGCGGTCTAATTTTTTTTTTTTTTTTTTTACTTAGCTTTCACCTTTACGTTTATGAAGCTTTATGGGAAATATATTGTAAAGAAATTAAAATAAAACTGTTAAGAGCGACATTAAATTTCATATTTCTTAAGAAAGGTATCTAATTAATTTATAGGTACCTTTCTTATGAAATTTTATCAGAATTATACATAAAATACTATAGTTTTATGTACATTTATTACATTCTACTGTTATTTGTATTTGCATTCATTTTACTATTAATTTTGATATTTCATTTATGGAAAAATGTCGTAACTGAGATTAATATAAAAATAAGATCATATAAATTTCATAAGATGATACTGATACTTGTAGGTACCCTTCTCAGTTGAAATTGAAAAATCAAATTAACTTCTCCACACGTGTTTCGCAAAAGTAAAGGCCTTTAACAGCGGAGAACAATGCTTAACTCAAATAACGCAACTTAATTATATTCTGGTTGGTCTTCCGTATTTTATAATTACAGCTCGATTATAAGCACAAAATTACATTTCTTAATTACTGGGGATCTTCTGATTAGTCAAAATGATACAATTTACAACGCGCTAAAAAAGATCTATCTCATAAGGACACTTATGAAAGCCGATGCAGCTTTTAACTAATTTTATAATATTTTAACAACTTAAATGTAAAATCTATTATAATTAATGAAATAACAAATAATTGTATTAAAAATTCATTTTTCATCGAAAAAAAATTTTTTTGCTTTCAGAAAATATTGTCCATATTCATAAAAAACAACTAAAAGCAAATAAAAGCATTTGAAATTAAATAATATCTTTGTTTTATTGAGTTTTGTATGTTACAATTCAGAGCTGATTTTCGGGTACTGCGTATCCAATTAAAAAAAAAAAACATGATTTGCATTCCTCAAAGCCCTGTGCTTTTAATTATTGTAATCACTAAAACCGATGCGATCGAATTTCTAGCGTTTTCATAAAATTAGTTATGGGGGGGTAATAAATATTTTTTAAAAATATTTCTACCATGACTTTCATAAAAAAACATATTTATAATAATTTCGATCATCTGTGAATAGTTCCTGAAAGTTTCATTAACATCCGATAATTATTTCTATTTTTGCACGATTTTTCAAATTAATGTGTGTCATACCAAAAAAACGTGCTAAAAATTGTCTGTTATTTACTAGTTCCACTGATACAAATAGAAAAAAGGTTTTTTTTAATCAAAATTTAGAATGTTCTAAAAAGAAGGAAAATTTTTTAAAAATAATTAAAAAAAAACTTTGGTCTTTCCTCTTAATAATAACATAAGCATTTAGACAATAAAATTTAGTTTTCGGCAAGGTTGGCATCTTTTTCATCAAGCTATGCTCTTTTTTTAGCGATTTCGTGGAGGTACCTACATTTATGCAATACTAGTTTTGTCATCATTAGTTTAATGAAACTAATCTTTATATATTTGACACTGATTTCTTTGATCTTGTTTGACCAGTATCTATAAGAACCAATGTGCAGTTGTGTACTTTCATAATGGTATAAAAGATAGACAAATGCTGAACTTATATTCACATATCTGAATCTTTTAGAAATAATAATCCAAATTTTGAATATTGTAAATTTTCAACATGCTTCTTTTGTTACAGTCCAATCCACCTTGGTTGTTCTTATCCCACTGATCCTGCCATGCTTGTGACATTGTCCTTATTTTTTTTTTTTTTCTACATTTTTTTTTTTTTTTTTGTTAAAAATAATTGTAATTGCCATGCACATTACAGTATCTTTCTTGTTCATTCCCTTATCATTAGTTCATTCAGATCTTAGGTTCTTTTGGTACTTGGACAGTTAACTTTTAATGTGTACACTACTCATCCATTTTTTCTTTTACTTTATTTGATAAAAACACAAAAATGATCCTGAGAAGTGGGCTTTTTATTGTCTATTGTATTTCTTAGATATTTTAGCTATATTTAAAAAGTTGACAAATTTGATAGAAATTTATTAATTTAAATTACTTCGCTAACCTTTATATAAGCAAGCTGAGCTTTGTGTTATTTTGCTAAAATCTGATTAAATTTTGTTGCATTTGCTTGCTATTTATTTAATTTTAATTGCTGAATTTGATGAGATTTATTTTTAATAGAAAATCATTGTTATTGATTAATGATTCTGTATTTTCAAATAAAAGCTCTAATTTAGATAAATATTTTGTTTTATCAACAATTTTATAGTGTCTCAACTATATCCATCCATCCACACATACATACATATATATATATGCACACAAACACATTTAATTTAATTTTACATTAACTCTGTCCTTTTTCTTTTCATATATATATATATATATATATATATATATATTATTCACAATCTAAATTTTTGTGTTCTTAGTCCTGTAAATTTATTTCCTTGGTATTGATTTTCTTTTTACTTTCATCTAAGAGATACACAGAAAAAATGTTGGCATTTAAATGTTCTTTTTTTTTAATAATATTATTTTTCTATTTCCAGTAATTAATACCTTTTCCATGTCAAAATTATTTTCAAATATGCAACCAATGACCAACTTTCTTGGGATTTTGATTTATTTACTTTTTTAATTTGCCTCTAATAAATAAATCTCTAAACTGTTTCAGTTTATGTACAATAAAACATTTTTAAAATAGTTGTCATAATTTCACAATAATTTGAAAAAAGATTTAGTGCACATGCCATGATCCACATCATTAAACCACCTGCACTTTTAATAACTTTTAGTGGCCAAATGTAGGCTGATTTTAAAATCAGAAAATAAGTAAAAGTTATGTTATCAATTTGATTTTAAGGATCATAAACTTTTTCTCTCAATACTTTAATAGAAGTTTTATGTCTGTCTTGTATCTCCCTCCTTGCTCACACACACACACACACACACACACACACACACACAAATCTCTTGCCTGCTTCACACCTTTTTGCCTGCCCCATCAATTATACACATGCCTTACAACAAAGTTGCATTTTAATATCCAAGCCCAGTTATGCCATACTATTATTCCTTTGGTTTTTGCTACAAACAAAAAACTGTTTATCAGTTCTGCTTTTTATTCCCAATTGATTGCCATTGTTCCTCCTCCAACATGTCACATAAAGCCACTTTTCTACCAGCATTAATGCTCCAACTTGCAAGATGTGACAATGGTGCTTACTATATTCATTGTAGCATTATTTTTCATACCCTGTATCAGACTAAGCTTAGTGAATATCTTTACCATTACATTCTATGTCATCATCATCACTTCATTTTATAATAACCATAAAAGTAATGGCTTAGTCTGATCTGCTTGGCACTAAATTCATTTCTATCTATAAACTAATCAGTCTCTAATATAGAAAGTTTATTTGCTGACTCTGCTATTGCCTTGCACATTATTGCAATAATATAACCCTTACTGCATATTTTCTAATTACAGGCACATGGATATATAATAAGTATTATTATAGGAATATGATAAAATAACAGACACAGAAGAAAAATATTGTTTCCATTTTTTTGGAATAGCCAAATTAACGAGTATAACATTAGAAAAACATTTTAGAGAATTTGTAATAAATTAAATTTGAGTTTATGTTGAAAATAGTGTTCTGATATTTAAAAAATTTAACTCTAAATAATTCATTATAGAGAAGACCACAACACATTCTGCAGGAGTGGGGGGACATAGTCCAGAAGTATTCTGATTTCACAATACATTTTAGAAATATTCAGCATAGTTTTCTCCTTTTTTTATTAAAATATTATTCAATTTCAGTCATTTTATGTAGCTTCACAATTTTTTTAAAAATTATTTCATTTTCCCCTTTAGTTAGATAGACACTTTCAAATAAAAACTTCCTATATAATTGGGGTTTTAATAGAACTGATTTTGTTTTTTCATTTACTTTTCATAATTTTAATCTTATTTATTACTAGTTAAGAATGTATTATTTATTTTGATATAAACATTTTATTCTTTTGATTTTATAGGTATGTAGGACCAATGGAGAGAGATACAGCAACCAGAAAATTAGAAGGAATGGCAAGTGGAACCTATCTCATCCGAGAAAGCAAAAACCCTACCCGGGCAGGAGAGTTGTCACTTAGTATATGGTAATTAGTTTCTTTTTTTCTACACTTAAATATACAAGGGGATGCTGAAAGATTTCTGATTCACTTACCAAAATCTGACCAATCACGCTTTCGCTTTTTATAAAAAACGATTTTCCATAATTTTAAAAATAATTTTTAAAGAAAATATAACAATTTTATCAGCCACAAATATATTACTAAATGTATAAAAAAAAAAAAAATAAAAGGTTTTATATCAAATATTCAAATTTCATATTTGTTTTCTTTTCGGGGTCTTGAAAAACAATCTAATAATTATCTTCCTTTTGAAAAAAAAATTCTTGGAAATATTTAACTATTTTAAATCAGCAAATAAGTACTTCTACAGAAGGATGTTGAAAATATCATGTACTGGACATGTGCACAACAAAAAGTTTTAGAGAAAATGGAACCAAAAAGAACATTTAAATGTAGCATCAGAAAGAGAGGTAGTTGAAATTTCTAGGACACATAATGCGGAAAAGTGGCTTGGAAAATTGAAGGCAAGAGGGTCAAGAAAGCAGCGCATAACCTACTTAACAAGCTTATGTAAATGGCTGGCAGAACAAAGCCTAGACAAAAAAAAAAAAACTTTACTAAAGGCTACAATAGAGAGGAAATGGTGGAGAGCCACGATCGCCCACATCATAAATGAACATGGCATCTAGAAGAAGAAATAAGTACAGTTATATGAAAAATAGTAATTCATAAGATCTAAAAATAAATCTTAGGTTTTTCATATGAAACAAAATTTCTAAGTATATAAATATTGCAGAAAGACATGTTTTAATGTTGATTTTTAAATTTAATTATGTATAAATTCTCATGTATTTTCTTATATTTATTTTTCCAGTTTTGATAGTACTGTGAGGCATATAAAAGTCAACAAAATGGAGGGAGATTTTTACCTGGCTGACATTAAATTCTTTCATTCACTTCCTGTAAGTTTTTATATGCCTTATATTTTTACTATTTTTCAAAATTCTATGAAGAGTAATGTTTGTTTAATTTGCTTTCTTTTTTAATAAACTTTGTTTATGATGACATGTTTTTTTATGTATTTATTCATTTTATAATTTTCTTCATTTTAAATATTTTATTGCTTTTCCTACATGGGAATCATTAACATCAGTCATTGCTGTTAATGTAGTGAAACTCATGTATAAAAAAAGATTTTTATCATTTGGAATTCATATTTAATTTCAATAATTGAGCAAAAACAATATAACTACTATTACTGCATATAGTATGAAACTACAGATTAGAATAATTGTATTGGAATGCCTGAAAGAAAATAATAACATTATAATTTACAAACAAGACTTTTAAATAATCATCTTGAATATCAAAAACAAAAGCTTCCTCTCTAACAAATTTAAATTAATATATGGGTCTGTTTGGTCAATGTAAATTGTTTGCATAGTATATATATTTGAATAGTACTTAGTTTCAATTTATAGTTTCTGATTTAGTGTATTTTTTATACATCCACAATAAAAGGAAATAGAAATTAGTTAGTCAATAAATTATCAAATTTTAAAGTTAAATTAACCTGCAATACACAAAAATATGAAAGTACTAGAAATATTAAAGTCTAAAGTGAAATCAGCACCAACCAAGTTGAACAAGAACAAAGCAGCAGGACAAGATGAAATTGTTATAGTGATGTTGACAATCTCAGACCATTTCAGCAATGACAAAATTATAAAAATAATAAATGATATATACAACAGTAGTGATATTCTAGAAGACCTTACTAGATCTATTTTCATAGTACTGCCTAAAAAGCCAGGTGCAAAGGAATGTGAGCTCCACCGGACAATCAGACTAATGATCCACATCATGAAAATTATCCAACTTCTGATAAATAGTGTGTAGTAGAAATAGAATGGAAATAGGACAAAAACAATGCTGTTTTGTTAAAGACACTGGAATAAAAACTGCAATATTTATGCTCAAAATGATATCAAAAAGAACAGCACATATGCAGAAATATGTATACCTATGTTTTATAGATTATGCAAAAGAATAAAACATAAAGAACTGTTTGAACTATGAGATAAGCTTGATTTATTTGGAAAGGATATTATACTAGGAGCAAACTTCCTGCATACGGATGGAAAATGAATTCAGTAAATATGCAAAAATATAAAAAGATGTAAGACACAGAGGTCTTCTCATTAGATTTATTCAACCTTTATAGTGAGGCAATTATGAGAGAATTAGAAGTCCTACCAGGATTCATTATTGGTGGCCACACTCTTAACAACATAAGATATGCAAACACAGTGTTTGATAGCAAAACACAGAAAGGAAACTATAGGAACACTTAGAAGAAGTTAGAAAGGAAAGCAAGAAGAAAGGACTAAAAATCAATTGTAATAAGAGAGAATGTATGGTTGTCAGCAAAAGGAACTGCCCAAGATGTGAACTATAAATTTGAGACATCAAAATCTAGCAAATACAAAAATTTAAATATCTAAGAAGCATTTTCATTTTCAAGATAGCTGTTTACAATAGATTACAATATGGATAAATATAAAAATGATTTTATTACTTTATTTAAATTTTTTGTTTATTTAGGAACTTGTTGAATGGTATCAAGAAAATTCGTTGGTTCACAGTTTTCCTGAGTTAAAGACTCAATTGAAATATCCTTTCAAAGAAAGTATGCCTGGTAAGTGAAATTCCTCAGTGTAATAAAAATAGAAAGGAAATTTAAAAGTTTACTCAACTATTCCCATATTTCATTGACAGATTTCTAACCTGCAACAAAAACACACTTTTATTAACAATAAAAGGCAGTCCAGGTGTTTGCCACTGTTGAAATCCTTGTTCATATTCACTTTCTTTTTCTTTTTCTTTTTTATAAATATTAGATTCATTGGGAGAGAATAACATTAATTGTTCTTCAGCATTTACTTTGTAAAAAGAGATAAAATGAACCCAAAATATGTGTTTCTGTTAACTCATCAATTGGGAGCTAAAATCTACATCAATCAACCAACCAAATATATTTACATTTTTAAAGATAATTTAAGAGATGAAGATTACTGTTAATACTTTAAAAAATTCTAAGCAGGTGGACAACAATTTATTATATTTCATCTCTAGCTCACACCACATCACTTGAGGACTATCAACATCAGCAACAACTAAAATGGATAGCATATGTAACGCGAAAAGAATGACAGCAAGATGTTGACATGCCACACTACTTCAAATAAAAGGTTAAGCAGTAAACCCCTATCAATACTGAAAAGAGTGATAACAGCTACTGGATTTGAAAAACTTATTTTCCTGAAAAATTATTTTAAGAGAAAGATTTTATAAATTTCAACTGAAAGCAGTACCAATTGTTAAGTCAATGAATGTGAAATGTTTCCTTGTAGGGAAACAGCGAATATGACCATAGCCTAAGGACAAAACAAAGCCTTTAGTTTACACAAGACATATTTATTTTTTAATATAATCTTTATTCTTAATGAATTTAGCTTCATGCTTTGCTATAAATTACAGATTAAAATTTAGCTCATAATTGTTGTGCACTTTATTAATCCAGCCTTTCAAAATTGTTGCTTCGCATTTTATTTTTTTTCTTTCAGATTGGCTATTTTCCTTTAATTTTTTTATTTTTTATTCTAAAATTACAGTAATGTTGTACTTTTCTTTCTTTCCTACACAATGCCTTGAACAATGAAATTATGACTGTGTTTTTAGTTTTAATTTAGGTTTTTATCCTTATTCTCATTTGATATTCTTTGAATTCAAATTGCTACTTTCATATACTATATACGTATTGATTATGTCTCTTTTTTTTTTTTTTTTTTTTTTGCTCTAGGCTTTTTCTCTATGAATCCAACCAATGTGGTAAGTTATGCTGTAGCAATTTATGACTATTCTGCAACAGCCACCAACCAGCTGTCTTTGCGTGTTGGTGAACGAGTAGCCATTTTGAGCAAAGCAGGTGGGGATAAAGGATGGTGGAAAGGAAAAATTGTACAATATGGAAAGGTTAGTCCAAATTTGGTCAGTTTTGTTCAGCACTTTTTTTGATTATTTTTAAATTTGCTTATTTGAATTCAGTTATTAGGTATCACATTCCTCTGTCATCTGTATACACTTATAAGAAACACTTGTAAGATAATAGTGTAATAGTGTATTATGTGGTGGGAGTGGCTTAAACTTTCTAATGACAAAGAAGAAACCCTTCTGGGGGAAAAAATTTGATTGGTCATTTGGTCAGATTTTGGAAACTAGGTCAAGCCTATAACTTTTCAGCATCCCCCTATATACAGTGGGGTCGGGAACCAATATTCATACACATACAAATTTTTAATTTATTGCATTTCCAACTAATGAATAAACATATTTTTTATATAATTAACTGTAAACAAAATATGCATAAAAAACAAAAACATTTGATCTAAGAAATAAATCTCATTTATCCATTTTAATGGGTGAAAAAAGTATTCATACAATGTAAATTTCAGATTTTAAAATTTTTAAATTGCTTTAATACTATAGATTATTCAAGTGGAATACTCTAGAATGTTCCAATAATGTTATCATTAGTTATTTTTAACCTAAAAAATACAAACAACTTTCTGTAATTGATATTCACGCAAGAAGGTTATCATCATGGCAAGGGGTAAAGAATTGATAAATTCGCAATAAGAACTGATTGTTAAGTTCTGGAAAGAAGGTAAAAGTTACAGGAAAATTTCAGACAACCTGAAAATCAAAGAACAGGTGCTCCACAGAAAATTTCATTAAGATCTTCAAGGAAATTAGGGTATCAAATTAAACAAAATCCAATGGTTACTCATCAAGAATTGCAGGATGATTTGCTTTCATCAGGAATCTGTGTCACTAAATGGACAATAAGCAATGAAATTCATAGGAACAATCTAAAGTCACAATCCCCTTAGAAAACTCCACTGCTAATGAAAAGACACAGAGATGACTGGTTGAAATTTGTTTGTGAACATAAGGATAAGAAAAAAATCATATTGGGAAGAAGAGTATTATGAACAGACGAAATCAAAATTGAGTTGTTTGGACGTAATTCTAGAAATCATGTATGGAGGAAAGATGGCGATGTCTTTAAACAAAAGAAGACACTTGCAACAGTGAAATTTGGTGATGGCAGCATCATGGTTTGGGGATGTTTTTCTGTAAAAGATACTGACAAAATATCAGTAATAGATGGTAGAATGAATGCTGCAGCATATCAAAATATTTTGGAAGCAAATTTAATGATTCTGGTTGAAAATCTTGAACTTTCTAATGATTGGATCTTCCATTAAGATAATGATCCTAAGCACACTGCAAAATCTATGAAGAAATGGCTTGCTAAATAATGTAAATATCCTGAAATGGCCAGGTCATTCCCCGTATTTGGGCTCAATTGAAAATCTGTGGCATTATGTGAAAATTAAAATCCAATTGAGAGCTCTAACAAACATCTCAGATATGATGACCATATGTGAAGAAGAATGGAACAAAATACCAACTAAAATTTGCAAATCATTAATTGAGAACTATAAGAAAAGGTTGGTTGCTATTCTACAAAGTACTAAATGAAGAATATGTATTCTTTTTTGTATTGTACAAATACTTTTTTTACCTATTAAAATTGATAAATGGGATTTATTTCTATTAAATCAATTTGTTTTCCTGTTTTCTATGCATAGTTAGTTATTATGCATCTGTGTACAGTTAATTATATAAAAGTATGTTTATTCAATAGTTGGAAATAGAATAAATTAAAAATTTGTATGTGTATGAATATTTGTCTCCTCCCCCCTCGTATATTTTTCAATGTTAAAGGAAATTCTTTGATTAGGTCAGGCTGTTGCAAATTTCTTTTTTCCTATTCATTTTTAGAAAACAGTTTTGTTGCTTATCATTCAACTGATTAGAATTCTTAAATTATAAAAATTGTTAAATTGAATAAACTTTAGTAAATATTCAGTCATTATGTATTTGAAAATTAACCTTAGGAACTTAGGAAAAATGGCTTTCATTTTATTGTGTACTTAGCTTCATAGTTGGTATAAAGAAAAAAAAGATCTTTTAGATTGATTCTAGGTAGATGGGTCTTATAAAACTAAGCAAATGTTATTAACCTTCATTACATGCACAGAAATGAATCCTGAAATTTTATGTATTGATAAGATTTAATTTTTTTTTTTTTTTTTTTTTGCTACTGTTAGTTTTTTCTCAATTTCTTATCTGTTTCTTTGAAATTGTTCATTTATTTTAAAAATAATTTTTTGATATCAGAAAACTAAATTGTTCTGATTCAAATGTATAAATATTACTTAACGATGAATGATATTGTTCAAGCTTAGTATAATAAAAATATGTCTCTCATTTTATATATATATATAAAGCTAGACATAATATTTTTTTTTCACTCTCTCCCTCCTTTACTACAAATGACTATTATATTTTACATCTATCACACATGTTCTTAATACTTCCCATCCATATTGGTATATTAATGATGAAATAAAACCTTTATTTTACACCAGACATATTTAAAACAGATTAAAATTTTGCTCATAACTGTCATGCACTTTATTAATCCAGCCTTATATAAATTTGCCCATTTTCTTTTGTTACATTAATATTTCCTTGAAATTTGAATTAGCCATGATGAATTTCTTTTTTCTTTCATTTCAGATTGGCTATTTTCCTCTGACATATGTGCGTGAAGAAGATGACTAAAGAGGGATACCAGTCAAGTAACCAATACAATGTGGCATTGTATTTTTGAAGAGCGGTTTGGAAAGGGATTGTGAATTTATATTATCAAACAATTGGTTGCGTGCATGTGTGCGTGCGAGCGAGCATATCTTGTTTGCTTGTATTCGTGCATGTAGTGTATGCATGGGTGTGCATATGTTTACATTTATATTTGATATATATATATATATATATATATATATATATATATATATTAGTTTGTGTGTGTGTTTATTTCTGTGTGTGCATGTGTGTATATATGGTCACGTTCTTCATTCACTCACTCTGTGAAACTGGCAGACTACTATGCAGTAAAACCTGTCAAGTGAGTTGCTCTTCTTCCTCCCTCACCCCTCCCTTCCTCACCCCAACACTTCAGCTATCCAGATTTCTTTGAAGCTACAAAAACGTTAAACCCACCTTGAAAATGAAATAATTTTTTCTTCCATTGCCACCACCACCACCACCACCACCAATTTTAGCACATCAAACTGATCACTTTATGAACCTGTAAAATTTGCCAGTTCAATTGCTATATAAAAATATTCTTACAAATAAGTGATCATTTTGTTTGTGTACTTGTAAAATAGCAATGTTCTGCTATAAATAATTACACTTCCATACCAAAACATTACCTAAGAGAGTTTACAATAATTTATGTTGACTTTTATTATATCAAAATTCTTATTATTATTATGATCCTTATTGGTAATAGTTATTATATTCTTAAAGTTGAAATTTTCTTTTTTTTATTTTATTGAGTGGCTTAACTCTTGAAAAGATTGGTTCACTAGTTAAACTGAAGCCTGGCTCTCAATTAGAAATCTAAAACCCTTTGACATTTAAATCAGTTTTGGGTTGTGTGAAAATAGCCAACTCACTATTTTGTAACTTTATTTAATGATATACCTACATAAAAAATATACATAACCATAATATTCTCACATTCAGAAGACCATTAGAATAAAATACATGCAGATTACTTCTTGTTCCCCATATATGCATACACATTAATTTGCTCCCTTTTCACAGCCATATACTTTCTCTCACGCTCATAAGTGATAGCTGTATTTAAAGATAACTATTAAAGTTCAAAACTTTAAAGATCATAAATTGTGTCAGTGACAAGACATATTTTGACAGTGCGTTTATATATGCAGATTTCCTCTACAGTGGTGGTTGGTGGTTCTTTGACAAAAATAAATTTGATTTTGAAGATACCTGTTGCTGAGCATTTTTCTTTGTCAGCTTTTCTCCCCTCAGCATCCACAAGAGGGATGAAACCAGAAGCTTTCAAAAGCACAACCCTTCTGTGGAAATGTTTATTTTTTTCTTCTTTTGGGCTTTCATTACTCGTTACTCCAGACTGTCCTGTCAGTGACTTATTGGTCACCTGTGAATATTTGTTCCAACTTTCTGCCTACCTGTCAGCGTTTTTTTCCTCTTTCAACAAACAGCCTTGCCCAGTTTAATCCTGTGCAGCTCTGGATGTAATCAATTAGTGCTTTTCTCTTTTAAATTACAAAACACAAGTCCTGAAAATACTGTCAGATGGTTTGGGCAGAAAAGAAATGTTGGCTAGAAAAATTCTTCTTTATGTTTTTTTTTTTTTTATTTAAAAAAAAAAAAAAAATGCCCCACAAACAAAATTATCTATTTTGAAAATTGTAAACTTACTCCCGCCTCCAAAAAAAAAAAAAAAAAATTTCTTCTATGCAATGATAAAGTTATGCATACAATTGATAGAGATACACTCACAATCACTGACATATTAGGGTCTTTATTTTAGGGGTTCTAGAATCTAATATTTCCTCCTTTTAGTTTTTTGCCTTCTGCTCACAAAGGTAACCTTTCCTGAATTTGAAATCAGATGTAAAGAAATATATTTTCACCAATTTTCATATGCAATTAGAGAACATTTCATATACGGATCACTGATTACGTCTTATGTGCAAAGTGTCTGCTGATTTGCCTTGTTTAAACAACAAATTTAGGCTTCATTTTTGCCACCCAACATATTTCCTGTTCATCTCTCCTGACTTACAACCTGCTGAAAACCTCAAATACACATATTTTTTCTTTTTTTTTAAATTATTACAGATGTCTTTTCTAACCACTATTTTGTTGTCAGTTCAAGGCATTTATTATCAAGTAAATATTGATGTGACATTTCCATTCAGTTTCTGGTCATCTTATTAGATTTAACCATCAATGCACAAAAGGAAGTCACTTCAACAATTTTGTTTTGTTTTGCTTTGCTTGTCAAAAATACCAGATCATCTATTTCTAGGGAATAAGCTTTCTGAATATCTAAATTTCAATTACTTAATAAATCAGTGTTACTATATACCATTTTGATCTGAGAAAATTGAAACACCGGTTTCATTTGATCACTGATGTTAAACAATATTTAAATATTGACCATTGGAGAATTCCCGGTGCTTAAAGTTAAAAGTTAGAAGGAAAATGGACACCTGATCTGGCAGGAGACATTGGCAAATTTCTGTTGTTAAAATTGCCTTTGACAGTCATTTTGATACAGTTTTGTATAGAAGCAGAAGAAAAAAGTTATTACCAGCCAGTTGAAGGATATGGTTTTGCTGCTGATATGATTAAAAATATTTTTTATTCATAAAATAAACCAGGAAAATTTAAACCTACAAATTCATCCATTTTCTAATTGAGTATTTTCAGGAACTACCAGCTATTTTACATTTCTCTAGATTCCAATCACTGTATTGAATTCTGGTCATTGATTTTTTTTTTTTAATTAAAATTTTAGCATAAAATCATACTCCACTTTTCCCAAGAATTTTCTGTTTTTATAATTGTTTCAGTTTCTATAATAAAATCCTTCATTTCTAACTTTTTGATGGCATAAAAAAAGAACTATAGAATAAAAGAATATTCACTGACCAAACTTAAACCTGCAATTTTTAGTATAAAAACAAAATTAAAGCAAATTTTGCAACTGTCTTACATTTCAGCTAATGTTTATTGAAATATTACAAAGTGGAAAAGTTTTTCATTTTGTTCTATAACAGAATTAATTTCCAATATTATACTGAATTTGGAATTTACTAAATCGAAAATTTCTAATTTGTAAAATTCATCATAAAAGTAAACAGTGTTGAAGAATAATTATTAAAAGTGAGTTATATCATGTAAAATAATGTTATTTCAGAAGTTCAGGCCTTTGTAGGTTTGAAGCTGTTCAAGCATAAATTTTGTAAATAACCATTAGGTTTATTCTTCCTGCAGCTAAACCATAAAATTTTCAATATAATTTCATCTATTTAGTTTTATTTATTACATCAGACAATGCACTTACAAATGACTTATAATTGGCTGATTCTGCTCTTGGCAGCACTGTCCTCATTGCTCTCAGTCGTTCATTCCTTCTGCTATTAAGGTTTAGCTTTTCAATGAATATTTTTGTCTTTGTTTTTTTCCAGTCATGCATGCATCATTTTCCTTCCCTTAAAATTTTAAACTTTATATTAATTTTTTAAAAAATTCTCCAGTTTTATTCTATGAAGAAAAATAATGGAAATAGTCTTTTATTTTTGCTTTGATTCATTCTATCTTAAGAATTTGAGTAGGAAATGTAAAAGAATTGTTTTTTTTATCTTTTGATTCGGTTTGTTGCTCATTTTGTGTGTAAGTGCCATATCCGCCCAGTCGTTTGGCTGCCATGTCCTGCCAGTGACAGAGTGTGTGGCATGTAGAGTGACCCCCCCACCTCCGATGAGGATGAGGAAGAGGAGGATGATCACTGCTACTATGACTATTAGCTATGTGATGACGTCATTAGTTGGATGGGCAGCTTTCCCCCCCCCCCGCCTCATCTGATCCGCACTTATTCGACCCATTTCCTAAATATGCCCTCCCAGCTATTTGCATGTGACTTGCACCAATAATCTTGGATTCTCTTGCTTGTACATACTCTGCCCACCTGCTATTATGGAAAACCCATTTGTAATCAACTGGGCCAGGCACACACACATAGAGAGAGAGAGAGAGAGGAGGTAATCTACATTTTGCTTATTGCCATCACCACCACCACCACTGCTGTTTTTTTTTTTTTTTTTTTTTTTTTAAATCCTCCATGTACTTGTGGCAGACAGATTTCAGTTTTCCAGTAAACAAATTGTTCTTATGAAATGAAAGCATTTTAAATATGCTGCTTTTCATAAACAAACAAGAAAAAAACATTTTTCTTTCTTTTCAGTTATGCCCACTCAATATTTACCTTTGTAATATAATTGGAGAAACAAATCTATACAAATTCTTAGTATTTCTATAAATAAAATTGATTTATAATATTGACTATAATAAAAAAGAAAGAGAGCAAGCATAAAAAGAGGAAGAGGAGGAGAGCATTTCTGTAAAGGGAAAGTGAAACCTGCAGAAAGAAAACTATTGTCAAACCAAAAGAATTATAAGACTCTTCAAAGTTGAATTTGTTATCCATCAAGTGCAACTCAGTTTCTCTCTTAAAGAAGAGTCTACTGACAGATTTTGATGCCTCAACAATTGATCAAGACATGATTTTTCTCCTTGCAACCCTTTCTAAAGAAACAAACAAAAAAAAAACTCCTTAAATAATTTTTTTTTTCCATCTTTAAAAATGTTGACTCTGCTGCCAATTGCTGTAACCTTTTAACGGCTTCCTTTCCTCTTTCTAGCCTCCAATGACTTATGCCAATTTGCCTCATAGTCACAACTGTAAAGAAACAAGAAAAACTCTTCATGTCAAACAACAAATACTAGCTTTATTTTTTAACAAGCATCTTTTCTTTTTGTTTGCTTGGTCTCCAAGAAATCACTTGATCTTCTTTCTTCCTTCCATTCATTTTCCGTCTTTTAATTCCCAACATTCTCAGTTTGTCTATCTCTTTCAAATGAAAACAAACATCTAATGTTTTTTTGTTTTTTGTTGTTTTTTTTTTTTTGCTGCTGTCTTTTAACAGACAATTTTA